AATTCCTGGAAGGCCCTCTGAACGGCAGGTACAAATGAGACCTGACTACAAAGGCTGGAATAAATACCTTATCCTTCGATGCCCAGATATTGACAAACATCAACAGCATCAAGAACATTTACGTTAATATGACCTCATCAAATGGACCAATTTAGGCACCAGTAACCAACCCGGGAGAGATGGAGATATGTAACCTCTCAGGGAATTCCGAGTAACTATTTTGAGAAAGCTCAGCGAGCTTCAAGAAAACAGAGAAACAATTCAGAAATATATCAGATAAACTTAACAGGGATACTGAAGTAACAGAAAAAAAAAAATCCTGGAGCTGGAGAATGCATTAGTGGATCTCAGTAGAACTGATCAAGCAGAAGAAAGAATTAGCATGAAAACAAGCTATTTGAAAATATGGTCAGAATAATAAGAAAAAACACAGAATGCTTAAGAGACCTAGAAGAGTGCCTCAAAAGAGAAAATCAGAGATTCTTTGGCCTTAAACAGGGGGTTGAGAAGGAGAAAAGAGTAGAAAGTTTCTTCAGGACGGGCATGGTGGCTCACGCCTGTAATCCAAGCACTTTGGAGGCCAAGGCGGGCGGATCACCTGAGGTCGGGAGTTCAAGACCAGCCTGACAAACATGGTGAAAGCCCATCTTTATAAAAAAATAAAAATAAATAAAAAATAAAGAAAGCTTCCTCAAAGAAATAATATTAATAACAGAAAACTTGCTAAACATAGAGAAAGATATAATATCCAGGCACAGAAAAATCAAAGATCACTAAACAGATTCAATCCATATTAACCTGCCCCAAGTCATATAATACTTAAAGATGAAGGACAAAGAGAGGATCCTAAAAACAGCAAGAGAAGAGCAAATAACATATAAAGTACTTCCTCCCTCCCTCCCTGTCTCTCCCTCTTCTTTTTCTCCCTTCCTCCCTCCCTCCTTCCCTTCCTTGCTTCCTTTTTTCCTTTCTTTTCTTTTTTCCTGAGACGGAGTCTTGCTCTGTTGCCCAGGCTGAAGTGCAGTGGCACTATCTTTGCTTACTGAAACTTCCACCTCTAGAGTTCAAACAATTCTCCTGCCTCACCCTCCTGAGTAGCTGGGATGAGAGGTGTGTACCACCATGCCTGGCTAATTTTTGTATTTTTAGTAGAGACAGGGTTTCACCATGTTGGCCAGGTTGGTCTCGAACTCCTGACCTTGTGATCTGCCCACCTCGGCCTCCCAAAGAGCTGGGATTACAGATATGAGCCCCCGCACCTGACCTAAAGTAGTTTCAATACATCTTGTGGCAGATTTCTCAGTGGACAGCTACAGGCCAGGAGGCAGTGAGGTGACATATACAAAATGCTGAAGGAAAAATAACTGTCCAGTGAGAATATTGTACCTGGTGAAAGCTATCCTTCAAACATGAAGGAAAAGTAAAGACCTTCCCATACAAATAGAAGCTAAAGGAATTTATCTCCATCAGATCTGTCTTACAAGAAATGCTGAGTTCCTCAGTCTGAAACAAAAGTTCATTAACTTGTAGCAAGAAAGCATCTGAAGCTATGACACTAACTGGTAAAAGTCAGTATACAGACAAATCCAGTTTATCTAATAATGTGACTGTGGTGTGTAAACCTCCCATACCTTTAGTATAAAAACTAAAAGATATAATTATTAAAAATAATAACTACAGAAATTTATTAAGAGCTAGGAAGTTTTAAAAAGATATAAATTGAGACATCATCTAACAGTCAAAATATGGAGCGGAAGATGGAGTTGACGTACAGAGTTTTTAAGGTTCTGTTGTCATTGTTTGTTTCAATTATTTTCTTTGCAATCATAGTTAAGTTGGTATCAGATTAAAATAATTTACAAGCATAAGACATTTTTTTCTGTAAGCCTCATGCTCACCACAAAGAAAAAACCTATGATAGACACACTAGAAATAAAAAGCAAAGAATTAAAACATACTATCAGGAAAAATCACTCAACCATAAAGGAACACAATAAGAAAGGAAAAAAGGAAATGAGGAGTTTCAAAACTACCAGGAAACAAGTAACAAGATGGCAGTAAGTCCCCTTTAAAAATGTAGATAGACTAAAAATGGAGGGATAAAAAAAGATGTGCTATGGATATGGACACAAAAGAGCACAACTAGCTATTTTTATGTCAGATAAGATTAGGCTTTAAGTAAAAATAATTTAACTGACCAAGAAGGCCATTCATTACATTATGATAAATGCATCAATACAGTAAGAAAATATAACCATCGTAAATGCTTGTACACCCAACATTGGCGCACCCAACTATATAAAGCAAATATTAACAGACCTAAAGGGAGAGATTGACTCCAATACACCAACAGTAGGGGACTTCAATACCCTCCTTCCAGCAACAAACAGATCATCCGGGCAGAAAATCAATAAAGAAACATTGGCGTTAATCTGGACCCTAGACTGAATGTACCTTACAGACAGTTACAGAACTTTCCACCCAATGGATGCAGGATACAGATTCCTCTCAACATACCTGGAATGTTTTCCAGGACAGACCGTATGTTAGGCCACAAAACAAGTCTTAACAAATATTTAAAAACTGAAATTGTTATCAAGTGTCTTTCTGATCACATGCAACAAAACTAGTAGTCAATAACAGGAGAAGTTTTGGAAACTGTTCAAATTCACAGAAATTAAACAACACGGTCAGGAACAACAAATGGATCAATGAAGAAATTAAAAGGACATCTAAAAAGCTTTAGCACACTGAGGGAAAGGATTAATAAAGTGAAGCAACAACTTACAGAATGGGAGAAAGTCTTTTCAAGCTCTGCATCTGATAAGGAGTTAATAAATATAATATATAAGAAACTTAATAGCAAAAAAAAACCCCAAATGATCTTATGAGCAAAAGACCTGAACAGAAATTCTTAAAAGAAGACATACAGGGCCAGACGCACAGTGGCTCATGCCTGTAATCACAGCACTTTGAGAGGCCAAGACAGGCGGATCACTTAAGTTCAGGAGTTCGAGACCAGCCTGGCCAACATGGTAAAACCCCATCTCTACTAAAAACGCCTGTAGTCCCAGCTACTCAAGAAGCTGAGGCAGGAGAATCGCTTGAACACAGGAGGCGGAGTTTGCAGTGAGTCAAGATTGCGCCACTGCATTCTAGCCTGGGCGACAAAGTGAGACTCTGTCTCAAAAAAAAAAGACATACAAATAGCCAACAGGTATGAAAAAATGCTCAACATTACTAATCATCAGAGAAATGCAAATAAAAACCATGATGAGCTATCACCTTACCCCAGTTAGAATGGTTATTGTCACAAAGCAAAACAAAAAAAGAAATAATAACAAATGCTGGCAAGGATGTTGAGAAAAGGTAACTTACGTATATTGTTTGTGAGAATGTAAATTAGTACATCCAATTTGGAAAGCAATATGGTGGTTTCTCAAAAAATTAAAACTAGAGCTACCCTATGACTCAGCACTTCCATACTTGATGTCTATCCAAGGAAATGAAATCAGTATGTGGAAGAGACACCTGCACACCATTGTTTCTTGCAGCACTATTCACAATAACCAAGGTATGAAATCACCCTAAATGTCCATCTAAAGATAGACATAAAGAAAATGTGGTGTATATATACAGTGGAATGTTATTCAGCCACAAAACAGAAGTAAATCCTGTCATTTGTGGCAATGTGGATGAACCTGAAAGACATTATGTTAAGTGAAATATCCAGGAATGGAAAGACAAATGTTGCATCTCACTCATATATGAAATTGAAAAAGGTTAATTTCATAAAGGAGTAAAATAGGATTTAAGAGGAAACTAGCCTGGAGCTATTCAACCGAAATGATTAAGGACTGTAAACTGCATATCAATTCATAACTTGCCAAAGAATCTTCTGTGCAATTTCCCTTGTCTTTTTGATTGGCGTCATCCTTTAGAGCTTCTTTCTTCCTTGAAATAATATTAAATAAGTGCTTCACTCCAGATTTAAAACCAGGACCAAAACATAATACCTGAAGTATACTATTAAGATAACGGGTAGTGCCGAGATTATTCAGTCCCACAAATGGTAACAAGTTTTCTCTCTTCTCACAGTTTATAGGTGAAGACTGTGCTGCAGGAACAACGATCGATTTCAGATGCTCTATATTCAGAAGGTTTTTCTTCATTTTCTTGAGAATTTGTGAAATCGGAAGCTCTCTTAGTTTCTTTCTTTTGAAAAAACTTTAAAGAAAGTCTGTTTTGTGTCCTTTGTAGGGACATGGATGAACCTGGAAACCATCATTCTCAGCAAACTGACAGAAGAGCGGAAGATCAAACACCGCATGTTCTCACTCACAGGCGGGTGTTGAACAATGAGAACACATGGACACAGGGAGGGGAGCACTACACACTGGGGTCAGTTGGGGGGAAATAGGGGAGGGACGGTGCGCGGTGGGGAGCTGGGGAGAGATAGCATGGGGAGAGATGCCAGATGTAGGTGATAGGGAGGAAGGCAGCAAATCACACTGCTACGTGTGTACCTATGCACCAATCTTGCATGTTCTTCACATGTACCCCAAAACCTAAAATGCAATAAAATAAATACATGAAAAAAAAAAAGTCTGTTTTTCTTTGATGGGCTACCTCTGGAAAGTCCATTACTTTCAGTAGGTATGACACCAGGCATCTTTTTCTTCAAATCCCAAGGAGTTGTCAAGAACAAATTTATAAGGAAAAGTTGTAATCACCGATTATATCTGGTCATGGCCAAAAGCGAGATCCACGGCGGTGACGCCGGCGAGTCCAACCCGAATGAGTGTGGGTGCGACAGGCGAGTCCCTGCTCCGAGCCCGCCGGGCCCCCGGACCCAGGAAAGTCCGGTCGGATCGCCCTCCACTCGGGGCAGTGACCACCCGCTCCCACGAGCGGGAACCCGGCCACCGCGCGGTCCCGCCTGGGACCGGCACCAACTGCATCCCCGGAGCTGAGCGGCGCCCGTCCGCGCCCGCCCCGGGATGCCCGGGAGCGCAAGCAGCAGCACCCCGCTCGCGAGCGCCGGAACCGCGAGGGTCCTTCGCGCCCCGCCACCGAGGGGAACTCGCGCTTTTTCCTGTCTCAGGACCCCCGCGATCCGGCCTCCGCCCGCGCCAGCGCCGCAGCTGAACGCGGCGTCCTTTGAAATCGCCGGTTCCAGTCTCCACGTTGCAGAGACGCGAAAGACAGAGAAACACACTGATGAACCTGCCGCTCGGCCAAGGCGGCTGCTTAACACGCTCAGGGAATTCAGCCCTGTGTGCGAAGGACATCTACAGCATGATGCACACGAAGTATTACAGTGTGTTTCGGGAAACATTCAAGAAACATGCCAACTCCTAAGAAAAGAAGAAGTAAAAAATGTGGCAGAATTCTCTACTGAGGTAGAAGAAATACATCATCAGAAAGAGGAAATGAGTGGCGTTAACAGCACGCACATGGACGGTATGAGGCGTTCTGAGGACTTTAAAGAAAAACTCCCAAAAGGAAATGGGAAAAGAAAAAACGACACTGAATTTGGTAAAATGAAAAAAAAAGTTAAAGTCTCCAAGGAACACCAGTCATTGGAAGAGAACCAGAGACAAACTAGATCAAAAAGAAAACCTACAAGTGATACATTAGAGATTCCTCCTAAAATAATTCCCAAGTATATTTCTGAAAATGAGAGTGCAAGAGCTTCACAAAAGAAATCAACTGTTAACACAACTAATGGACTTGAATCTCCAGGAAATACTGTTATACCTGTAAATATTAATGAAGTTAAATCCATAAACAAAGGTGAGGAACAAATTGGTTTTGAGCTAGTGGAGAAATTATTTCAAGGTCAGCTGGTATGAAGGCCTCGTTGCTTGGAATGTGAAAATTTAACAGAAAGAAGAGAAGATTTTCAAGACATCAGTGTGCCGGTACAAGAAGATGAGTTTTCCAAAGCAGAGGAGAGTTCTGAAATTTCTCCAGAGCCAAAAATGGAAATGAAGACCCTGAGATGGGCAATTTCACAATTTGCTTCAGTAGAAAGGATCGTAGGAGAAGATAAATATTTCTGTGAAAACTGCCATCATTATACTGAAGCTGAACGAAGTCTTTTGTTTGACAAAATGCCTGAAGTTATAACTATTCATTTGAAGTGCTTTGCTGCTAGTGGTTTGGAGTTTGATTGTTATGGTGGTGGACTTCCCAAGATCAACACTCCTTTACTGACACCTCTTAAACTGTCACTAGAAGAATGGAGCACAAAACCACCTAACGACAGCTATGGATTGTTTGCGGTTGTGATGCATAGTGGCATTACAATTAGTAGTGGGCATTACACTGCTTCTGTTAAAGTCACTGACCTTAATAGTTTAGAGCTAGATAAAGGAAATTTTGTGGTTGACCAAATGTGTGAAATAGGTAAGCCAGAACTATTGAATGAGGAGGAAGCAAGGGGTGTGGTTGAGAATTACGATGATGAAGAAGTGTCGATTAGAGTTGGTGGAAATACACAGCCAAGAAAAGTTTCAAACAAAAAAAAATGTAGAAGCTATTGGACTTCTTGGAGGACAAAAGAGTAAAGCAGGTTATGAGTTATACAGCAAAGCCTCTAACCCTGATAAGGTTGCCAGCACAGCATTTGCTGAAAATAGAAATTCTGAGACTAACGATGCTAATGGGACCCACGAATCAGATAGAAACAAGGAATCCAGTGACCAAACAGGCATTAGTATTAGTGGATTTGAGAATAAAATTTCCTATGTAGTGCAAAGCTTGAAAGAGTATGAGGGGAAGTGGTTGCTTTTTGATGATTCTGAAGTGAAAGTTACTGAAGAGAAGGACTTTCTGAATTCCCTTTCCCCTTCTGCATCTCCTACTTCTACTCCTTACTTGCTATTTTATAAGAAATTATAGAGTGAGTGTATTTTCCTTGTGTATGTTTAAACATACCCACACAAACATCGGTACAGTTGGTTACATCAAAGAGTCTTTATCTTTTGAAGCTATTGGATATTATTGGTCTCTCTAGGTTTGTTTTTTTGAGAAGGAGTTTCGCTCTTGTTACCCAGGCTGGAGTGCAATGGCGCGATCTCGGCTCACCGCAACCTCCGCCTCCTGGGTTCAGGCAATTCTCCTGCCTCAGCCTCCGGAGTAGCTGGGACTACAGGCACGTGCCACCATGCCCAGCTAATTTTTTGTATTTTTAGTAGAGACGGGGTTTCACCATGTTGACAAGGATGTTCTTGATCTCCTGACCTCGTGATCCACCCGCCTCGGCCTCCCAAAGTGCTGGGATTACAGGCGTGAGCCACCGCGCCCGGCTTAGGTTTTTCTATAAATAGTGAAATTTGAATTACTGAAAACCATGTTAATTTTTAGAATTCATTTTCCTCAGTAGAAACTAGTGATGCGTTAGCTTCTGGGAACAAACTTGTATAAGTTCTTAATTAAATTATCTAAAACGGACACATTTAAACACTTTTGGATTTACACCAATCTTTTGTGTTTGCTTTTTAAAATAAAGTGCTTGTATTTGTATTCTCCATACTTTGCAGTAATTATCTACATGATGTTTATAGGTCCTGTGGTTTTTCACCCAAGAAGCAGAATCTCATTCAGTACATTTAGTTTTATAAGAGTCCTGAAGCTAAATATTTGGCCCATGTCAGGGGCACAAAGTCTAGAATGTGTGTATTGACAATGTTGTACATTTTGTGCCTTGAATCACTTAGAAAAGTGTCTCAGAAAACCTGAACAGTTCCCTTCTATCTTCACAAGAATTTTATATGTATTTATGAAGATGATTCTGTACTCTAGTACATCTTTTTTGGCATGGACTAATTTGTATCTCTTTAACTCATATTCTGCACGATCTGTATATAGTACATAAAATTTAGAGGTGTGACCTTAAATTTAACTTTTTTTAAAAACTGGGAGGTCAATAAAATTTAAACTGTTTAACAACAACAACAAAAGGAGTAAAACAGTATAAGAGAGAGGAGAAAACTAGGAAAGGTTCATCAATGGGTATGAACTTACAGTTCAACAAGAAGAATAAGTTGTGCTGTTCTGTTACATACACAGTAGAGGGACTATAGCAAATAACGTGGGCAGGCGCGGCGGCTCACGCCTGTAATCCCAGCTCTTTGGGAGCCCGTGGTGGGTGGATCATGAGGTCAGGAGTTCAAGACCAGCCTGGCCAAGATGGTGAAACCCTGTCTCCACTAAAAATACAAAAATTACCCGGGCATGGTGGCGGGCCCCTGTAATTCCAGCTACTTAGGAGGCTGAGGCAGAGAATTGCTTGAACCTGGGAGGCAGAGGTTGCAGTGAGCCGAGATCACGCCAATGCACTCCAGTCTGGGTGACAGAGCCATACTCCACCTCAGAAAGGAAGGAAGGAAGGAAGAAGAAAATAACAACATATTGTTTAAGATAGCTAGAAGCAAAGATTCTGAATATTGTTAGCACAAAGAAATGATAAATATTTAAGGCGATGGCCATGGTAATTATTCCCATTTGATCATTAAACTATGTATATATGTATTGAAACATCATACCGTACCACGTAAATATGTAAAATTATGTCAAATACCAACAAAAAATTTAAAGTATGGAAAAATGAAAACAATGACAAGAACAAAAACTTAACCACTATCATCACAACCGCCACCAACAACAACCTCAACAATAACAACCACAAAACCCTTAGCAGCCTCGTGCCTTGGGTGGAGACATGCCCTACCTCAACAGTGAGGTGGAATCAGCTCTGCTTCTACACTCAGGTATTTAAGGATTTACACGAGTAACTTTGGCTGTTAAATACAGAGGAATTACTAGAAGACTTGGCTGAATGAATGAAAAGTCAGCGAAACTATTAAGTATTATGTAAGGACAAACCGGCAAAACTTCAGGCCCTCTTGCTCTAGCCTTCCAGAAATTTCTTTCCTGTACATGATTGTGCTGCTCCTAATGCCTGGCACCCTGGGGAGCCACCTGCATTGCCGCAAAGGACCGCAAGGGAGCACCATGGTTCTGCCCTTGGAACTCCCCTGTAGAGAAGCCAGGCACCTGGAATATTCAAGTTCCTGGGAGGCCCGAGACTGGTGGTTCCTGACTTTTGGCCACACCGTATCCAAATTTGGCCTAAGGCTCGTGCTGCAAGGGTTGGCCGTGGAGGCTCAGCCCTACAGATGGAGCCCTCCTACCTGGTCTCTTCAAAAACAGGTTCTGACCTCACAGAAATCTACCTGTGCTTCTCCTGATGGTGTAAAACCTTCCCTCAGCTTCTCAGACCGGTGTTGACCTGCATCCTCCGTGCTTGAAGGAAGCGGGGAGGAGGTGACGATGGGGGAGGAAGAGCCGGGAGAGGGAGGAGGAGTGGTGACCCAAAGGCTTGAGAGGACAGTGGGGAGGGATGGGGAGTGGCAGGCAGAATAAGGAGGAGGTGGACAGGACAGTGACTGGAGCCCGAAACCAAGGTGGCTGCGTTCTCAGCCAAAGAAGGTGGCTCCTCTCTCCGAAACCTCACTGACCGCATCCTGGACACACACACAATCTCTGATTCCCTAGTCACTTTCCTTCTCACAAGAACAACCTCTCACCCTCCTCCCATTCCTCTTTGATGCCTTCGTTTTCCGCTGTGTCTTCCAGGGCCGGTGCAGGTCCTGCACCTACAGCCAAACTTTTGTCTTTTGGTTCCAGAGAGTCCAGAATCTCCCAGGAAAAGCAGGCCACATGAAGTCACGGAGTCCCCATGCAGAATCTGAATCCAATCTCTCAAGTCACACGTCAAACTCTTTCCAAAAATAAAATTGAAGAAAATTTCCCATTCCAAATCATTTTTTCTTGCGACCTGTTAAGCTATGAAGCCCCAAACTAGATGATCAGTCCTTCTAAAGGCAAAGATCGGCCTTAACAAGGGTAAAGCAGGTATGGGTTTTGATTACAGGAATTAAACAAAATTGAGGCGATTCCAGAAAGGTAGGAGAAGCTGCTTAAGTTACGGGATAAGAAACCCCCTGTACCATGAGCTCAGGCAGCCATAACTGAATACCATCAACAGGGTGGTTTAAATTACATTTTTTTTTTTTTGAGACAGTCTTGCTTCGTCACCAGGTGCCAGGCTGGAGTGCAGTGGCGCGATCTCAGCTCACTGCAACTCTGCCTCCTGGGTTCAAGCAATTCTCCTGCCTCAGCCTCCCGAGTAGCTGGGACTACAGGCACGTACCACCACGCCCAGCTAATTTTTGTGTTTTTAGTAAAGATGGTGTTTCACCATGTTGGTCAGGATGGTCTCTATCTCTTGACCTCGTGCTCTTCCCACCTTGACCTCCCAAAACAAAAATATTTTCTCACAATTCTGGAGTCAAGAAGTGCAAGATCCAGATTGGATTCTAGTGAGAGCTCTCTTCCTGGCTTGCAGATGACCACTGACCCTCTGTCCCTACATGGCCTTCTCTCCCTGTGTATTATTTGGGGGAGCAGGAGAGGGGGTGAACACGCTCCCTGGTCCTCCTATTAGAAGGACACTAATCCTCTTAGATCAGTCCCCCTGCTTATGATCTCATCTAGCCTTCGTCACTTCCTTAAAGGCCTCATCTCTGTGTAAGTTGCACTGGGAGTTAGAATGTCAACACGTACATTTTGGGAGGATATAACCTTCACTTCTCACTGGCCCTCAGGCTGCTCCCCATTCAGGTGTCGGTAGCTCCCAGCTCTGGTCCCTGGGAGCCTCACGGGCACTGGGTCCTCAGGATTTTCCAGCGAGAGTTTCTCCTCCTCTCTGTGATCCAGATGCCTCTGTACTGGCACGTGCAGAGTCTTTCTATTTTGCCTTTCCTTCGATTTTTTTTCTTTCTCCTTTTCTTGGTAATTATGTATATGTAATATTGAGCATTTTGTCAAATGAGACTGCCTCATAATTTCTGCATTAATAAGCACAAGTCTTAATTGATTGGTTCTCAAAGGGAAAACTATGCTGATCGCTGTCTCTGAGCAGACGGGGCTGCTGGTCTTATGTAGAATTTGTGGGCAGGGTGGGGTTCAGGGGCTGGTAGAGGGCAGAGACATAGGTGAGATGGTGTCAGCCATTGGAGTAGCTGCTTCTGATTGGCCTGGCTTTGGCAACATACCCACATCTTACCACAAGAAAGCAAACATGTGTTCCTAAAAGTCTTAACATGGTGAAATGACTCAGACATGGGAACTTCATGTTCCCATGTCTGAGTTGACTGCTTGGCACTCGAAGCTGCTCCTTGGGTGAGTTGCTTTCAACTCCCTGACTTTCAGACGTGAGGGGCTAGCATTGACTGAAGGCCTTGCATAAATGTGTTCACGGAGGTGAGTGGCTGTGGTAGGCAGAATAAGCTGCCCAAAAGGTGTCCGTTTTTAATCCCTGGAACCTGTGAATATGTTACTTTACATGACAAAAGAGACTTTGAAGGAGTTATTAAGAATACTGAGATGGGGAAAATATTCTAGAGGATCCAGTGTCATCACAAGGGTGTGTGTGCGTGAGAGGGGGAGGGCAGGGAGTCTGTGTCAGGATGACGTGGTGTGAGAATAATCTGAGTGTCCGTGGCCGCCACCGAAGGTGAGAGGGGTCCTAGCTGAGGAATGAGGACAAACTCTGCATGTTGGAAAGGCAAGGACACAGTCTCCCTACAGCCTCCAGAAAGGAACACAAACCTGTCAGCGACACCTTCACTTCAGTGCAGTGAGACTCATCTTGGCCTTTGCATTGTCAGAACCATAAGATCATTAACTTGTGTTATTTGAAGATGCTGTTTGCGGGAATTTGTTACAGCAGCAATAGGGGACTCACACAGTGGTTATTGATAGATCAAGATGATTTAAAGCCAGTTCTGGCAGCTATTTGTAATCAAGGCTTCAGAACAATCGCTCTTTTCCCAGGAATATGTACTTCAGTATTTTCCATTGTCATTGTAAATCATCAAAGTGACACTGAAGATTATCCGAGGTATCTCTATACATGTGGTCTAAACCCTCACCCTCTGCCTAGAGCATTGTAATATCTGGTAGTGCATAAGGATGGGTTGTGCATGGTTGTCTGTTTGGAACAGAATTGGGGGAGCCCAGGCACAGGGTTTATAATGCTCCCCACAGGTGTGACTGTAGAGCATTGGACATATGAGGGTGCTTTGACATATCAAAGCTGCCTTCTTTCTGAAGCTCCCATGTATGAGCCATTTTCATCGTTTTGAGACTTTTAGGAACACATGCTTGCTTTCTCTGTTTCTTTAGTGGTAAGATGTGGGTATATTACCAAAGCCTGGCCAATCAGAAACAGCTACTCCAATGTTTGATGTGAGATGAGAGATTCAAGGAGAAGCACTGATTCAATTCATTCTGGCTCCTGCAACATAATAATCTCCCCATCTCAAGATTCTTAATGTAACAGTGTCCAGGGGCAGCAGGTCATGGTGCTGTTGACAGTGTTTATCTGAATTGTCTCTTTATTTTTCTTCTTTTTATAGCCTGGTTCTCAGGTTTCCTGCTGGTCCTCTGAGCTCTCACTGTCCCTTTAATAAAGTATGTTTCAGGCTCCATCATCAGGACTCCATTCTGATGGTTGAAGATAGTGAGGTAGAGAGAGAAAGAGAGAGAGAGAGAAAAGCAGAGGCCAGAGAGTGGAAGGAAGGAGGAATGAATGGATGGAGAAAAAAAGACAGGAAGGAAAGTAGGTTGATGGTTTTCCCTGAAGTCAGCTTGGTGCTGAGTTCACCTCCAGGAACCTGCCTCATTCTTTTGAAGAGAGTCACAACCTCCACCCGGTGACTCCCCTTCAAGGATCAAATTACTCTACCTGCTGCTGTCCATCCTGAGGATGTAAGTTGGCTTTCTCATCCAGCCTCCCCATGTCTAAGCCACTCCCGTGGTTAGCGAAAAACCCTGAACCTCACTGTCTAAGCAAATCCCTCATCTTTCCACCTCTACATTAGT